AATGCCCCACACCCTTCAGGAATGAAGGTTTGGATCACCCCACCTAGTGAAGAACCAGGACCAGCTGAGGTGCATGTGAGGGCATCATTGTGGGTAGTGTAAGAAGGTAGTTATAAATACCAGCTATGACCAGTTACAGAAATGAGGATTGCAATAGTTGGAATAAGTATTTCTTCTTCATTTTGATACAAAAAAATACACACACACATATATACAATTATTTTTGCCTTCTCTCCTTTCTTATTCCTTTATCACCTAAGATGTGTTAACAATAATAAACTTATACCTCAGAATTTAAGTTACTAGATATAAAAGAAGAAGAGTGAACATAATCCCAAGACTTTGTATCTTCCTCTGGGGAAAGGGTTAGCACGTTTTTAGTTGTACACAGGATAGTTATATCATGTTAGGCAGAAGTATGACTTTATTATTATTTTTTTTTTTGGAGATTGAGTATGGTTTAAGGGGATGCATATGGGTATAAGCTGACAAGGGGAAGACTGATGGTTTCTTTGATGTGTCAACTTGGCTGTGGCATCACCTACAGTCCCCACTTCTCAAGGAGTTTCTATGAAGGTATTTTGCAGATATAATTAAATCTTCTAATCAGCTGACTTTATATAAGGGAGATTATGCTGGATAATCTGGGTGGGCCTGACCAAATTTGCTGGAAGGCCTTAAAAGCAGGGCTGAGGTTTCCTTAGGAGAGAGAAGAAATTCCTCCTATGGACCACAGCTTCAGCCCATGCCATGGAGTCCCACTCTGCTTGTGGTCTTCCCTTCCTGACTGCCTGCCCTATGCATTTTGGACTTGCTTTGCCAACCCCTACAATCACATAAGCCAATTCCTTGTAATAAATTTCTTATTGATATTAACCTTCTACTGGTTATGCTTCTCTGGTTGAACCCTGACTGATACAAGGAATTTTAGTTAAGACTCTATATTTTTTTCCTGGAGAGTTACTTATAATAAATTAAGTTTAAAAAAAGCAAGTTGCAGAGTAATATGCATAATATAATTTTTTGTAAATAAATAAGTTTTATGCGTATATATGTTTATATGCACATGAGATTAGCATGGAAACAGGCATGCCAAACTCTTAATATTGGTTATCTCACACAAGTTTAAGGAGTGACAGAAAAGGGAAAAGAAGTTATTTTTTTCTTTAAACAACTCCATATTTGTTTAAATGGTTATAATGGCTGTGTAATACTTTTATAATTAAAAACTAAAATAAAAAAAATTATGGTAACAATAAAAATAATGATTAAAATATTATATGATTTGGAGGAAATGCTAATGATACAATATTAAGTGAAAATGAGGACAACAAAATTGTATCTATTCATCATGGAGAGGCAGGGGTGTGGAGAGAAAAATTCAGCCACCCTAGCTTTTCTATTTAGACACATAGAGAAAAGGCACTAGAAGAAAATATATCAAAATGTTTATAATAGATATTGCTGGGTAGTATGTTTATGTGTGATTTTTAATTTTTTCTTTGTATTTCTCTGGTTTTCCTCCCAACTGTCTACAATGACAGTGATTTACTATACAACAAAAATAACCTCAATTTTATTTTTGAAAGATGAACACAGGCTTGCTCAGGAAGTAATTTCTGGAAACTTTTCTATCAGAAGCAAATTCTTAAAATTGCAGGTTATTAGGGCATTGCTAAGGGGGTCATTATATGTAAAGTTAAGACACTCTGCCCCTGGAAATGCCTATTGGAAGGATGTTTTCCATTTTATTACAAAGTAGATTGAAGAAAAGGAGATTTTTTGCCTTCAACATAGACACTTTCCACATGGCTTTTCCCCGCTGGGTGGGAGACATTGTGTTGGAGCTATAGGGAAGGGCAGGGATCTTCTAGTTGATCCAGGGTCTGCAAAAAGTACACTAAGACCATTCCTTTAATAGCTCTAACAGCCTAGGCAGTGGCAGAGACTGCTGTGACCTGTCATTGAGGGAAACAGCATTTTTATACCACCTCCATATCATGGTCCAATGCAGTGCCCAGATGCTAAAAGCAATTTGACTCGAATGGGACTCAAAGTGAGTTAGCAATATGCATTCTACCCAAGACCTGGGGAGACTAGGATTAGACTAAACTGTGTCTTTATGACTATCCTTCCTTGTCTCTGGCCCATTTCAATCCCCAACAAGATAGGAGAATATAATTACATCAGGATTGATGAGTAGGCTCATTTTCCCAGGAGCAGTTTCCATCAACTTGCCCATAGAGGTATTTTAAGGTACAATTACAGTCCCACCAGGAGTAGGGTAAAGACAGAAGCTGTGGCTGTGTGTGTTCTCAGGGAATTACAGGCCTGGCTGTTCGGTATTTTTATGCCAGAAAGGCAGGACCTTGAGCAATAGACCAGATAGTACTTTGCAAGCCACAAAGCTATTACCAATCGTACCTAATCCTATAGTCAGGAAGCAGCATGAAAAATATATCTACTGACTATATCCCCTCTGGAAAAGGGGAACAATCTGTTTCAAAAGAAAGATTATGTTTTAGTGTGATTCTAAATAATGCAGGTGGTCATAGTTTTAGACCCTATTATATTTTCCATAATTTAGTTTAAAATACTTAGATATAGACAGCACGATATGTATGTATGTATTAATTTTAATCTATACTCCAAGGGCATTTATTAACATATGAAGTACCCTAATCAGGAATACACACTCCAGAGGTGATTTTTTAATGTTTTAAAGACTCAGAAGCTTTTGCTCCAGAGACCACTAATACCAGTAGTTCTGCCACCTTAAGGCAGGAGGCCTAATTAGCCTAACACATGTTAGAAATGCATTTTTATTGGTGAAAGGAATGTTATTCAAGATGTTTGGACTGGCCAGAAATGTCTTACAGGCTCTTTAGTCCTCACATGAACTGGGTATAAGAATCTAGTGAGTCTCATAGACTATACCCTTGAGAAGGGATCCTGAAGGTTAAGATTGCAAACAGGTCCTACGTCATGGCCCTCATCAGAGAATTTTGTTGCCAGACTCTGACTAGAAAGTTAGCTGAGTTCTGTGTGAAGGAACAAAAAAAAATTAATAACAGACATCTTACTTTGATCTTAAGGTTTTTTTTCTCACCCATAAAACCAAAAATTAACAGTAAAAGCCTGACCCCCGATTCTATAAAACTATTAACTTTTTTTTCTGGCATTAAGGAGTATTAATAATTAGGAAACTGAGGCCCACTTTACCACAGTGATTAAATCTTTGCAAACTCCTTTGTGACAAAGACATCTTCTAGCTCAGAGTTTATCTAATGCAAAAAAATGTAACTTTAGGTAAATTCCCTTGCTTCCTGAGAGATGTGGCACCTCTTGTCATTCTAAAACCTCCAGACTACACTTAAATATTTGTGCAAATGATGGGGGAGGGGCAGCCAGGGTAGAGATCACCTAGTAGCCTAATATCAACTGATCTCAGTAAGCAGGGGGGCAGGGTTCAATCAATCACCTTACAATTAGCCAATGGTTGATTTTCTATTCTTCCTCCTCCTCTTCTCTTTGTAAGCTTCTTTGGAACTAGCCTACCTTGAACCATTTGTTTTTGTATTTTTTTTTGGTTTGTTTGTTTTTTTAGAATCAGAATGGTCTCTCTATATGCATATAGAGTAACTGCTTGGAATAAACTTTATGTTTCAATTTCCTTGAGTTTTGATTATTTTTTTTAACACCTGTCACTAAAATATTACCAAATCTTCCTTGACTAACCCTTTCACAGAAGATGCTGTCACGCACCTAAGCACAGAGAACTCGGATTTCATCAACAGGTTGTATGACTGCTTTTGTGTCTGTTTAGTAATAAATGTTGGTATTGTATAAGGGAATTTAAAACCAAGGTGCCTGGTAAATGTGAAATGGCTGGCTTGTGGCTGGGGCCTGACTTTAGTTCTGCTTTTGCTCTAGCAACAGTTGACCTTTGTACAGACTTAATCATGCAGCTAAGGAAATGTTTTTCTGTGTTTAAGCCAAAAGGAATGTCAGCAGAATGCTCCCTGGGGGTCATTGCTCAAACGGTTAACCTTAAGGAGTGACAGAAAAGGGAAGATGTCCTCAGGAAGTGATTTTGTCTTAAGCCAGTTATTTTACTCTCATAAAATCTATTCTGCAATCACCTAGGCGCTAACTCACTCCCCCTTAATCAGATGGCCAACCTTTACATTTCAAAGGACTTCAAGCTGAAGCTGATCTGGTCTATAATCAATCATTAACCCCCCTGTTGGCAGTACCTCTGCATTTATACATAGTATTCAATCCCCTTAGCCCACATATGCTCTGTAAACCAATCCTAGCAAAAGCCCCATTTCCAGATGTTCTGCCTCCCACTTCCTTAATTGCTTAGCAACCAATCAGAATATTGTAACATAAGCTCCTAGTTTAGCCCTAAAACTATCCCCATGGGACTGCTCCTCCCTGGGAGCACTGATTTCACTTGGTGAGATCTAGCATGTCCCCCTGCTCAAATGGTCTTTCTTCCAATAAATCTCTTTATTTTCACTTTATAAGCTGAGCATACTGGAGCCCTGGTGGCACCGTGGTTAAGAGCTAGGCTGCTAACCAAAAGCCTGGCAGTTTGAATACACCAGTCACTCCTTGGAAACCCTATGGGACAGTTCTACTCTGTCCTATAGGGTCGCTATGAGTTGGAATCAACTTGACCGCAATGGGTTTGGTTTGGGAAGCCAAGTATGGGTCATTACTCTAATGACAGTGTTTGGCAGAATGCAGCCTGAGCCTTGCTTTCAGTGTAACATTCTTATCTAGTAATGAGATTGTAGGGGAGGTCAACATATAGTCCCCGCCTACCCCTAACTAATGGAAGCTACTGGTATCTACCAAAAATAATCTAACATTTGGGAATCACCAAAGTGGCTTAAGTCAGTTTACAACAGAAATTTCTCATCTAACCAATCCAAACCCTCTATGTTCTTCATAGTCATATTCTTCTTATATATCTGAGAAGGATTACTTACCAATTTTTTCATCTTCCTGCACCATTTTCCGCTCTTCTCTGAAAGCCCTGAGCCAGCGAATCTTCTCCTCCAGCTTCTTGGCAAAGAACAGATGTATCTCTTCAGTCTCCTTGTTGTGAAGTTTGAAGGCATTCTTCATGCTGACATTGAAGTCATCATCTCTACCATCTTCAATGTCAACCACCTCATATTTATCCATGTCAATACGGCCTTTGTAGTATAGGATGTCTCTCCGGATCAGGTCCTAGGTGGGAAAGAAGAGAAGCCTTTTCTTTGGAGATATATGGAGAGTGAATACCAAGAGAGATGGCATATGGGCACAAGACACTAAACTGCTACTGTTTTAGAGTACCAGTGGGGGTTTGGTCTAAATTTGGGCAGGTTAGCTTAGCAAGCCCAATATTGACAGGTTAACTAGATACCCTTAGAGGAATCCTCTGTCCCATATACAAAGACTCTGTCTCTGACCTCAGCCTAAATCCTTATATGTGTTTGCAAGACTGATGGAAAGTAGAAAGCAGTAAGGCACACAATCACTTCCAGCAGTGACTAAAGACAAGAGTGATTAAAGAGGCTTTTCTTCTTCCAAAACATTGGCAAACCTGCCATAGGCTTGAAGTGAGCTGGCTAGGTGCATGAAGCATGCTCAAGAATTGAAGAAGGCCAGAAAGACCTGGATTTCAGAGGGGGAATGAGTGATAAGAATAGACAGTTGGTCACAAACTGCTGGCTGGGAAGGGTTATTTGGGGAGGGTCTAACACTTAACACTCTGGGAATTTTTAGAGAAGGCCTTGTCTGACAGGAGAAATGGGAGTTAAAGTGAGTGAAAAAGAGTTTCACATATTGACATGGATGAATCTCACAAATGTTGCTGACTGAGAAAAACAAAAGTTGTAGATAGATACAAATAGTATGCTACCTTTTTACTGTTATTGTTGTGGTTGCTTTCCTCTCAGATTAATCATAATTTTCAGTCCATGAGATACTCATCACTGGCCTCTCCTGCATGGTGCTCTTATTTGTCTATTTATTTTTAATAATGCAGTAAGTATTGGCAAACCCACCACCCAATCCAAAAGCTAGGACCTCAAGGCAACCTCCATCTTAAATCCTATGCTCATCATTTCCCTAGTTTTCTTTTTATATAGTTTTATCTCATCTGTATCTATTCCACTTACATAAGGTTTAAAAACATACAAAACAATGCCAAATAATGTTTAGGGATACACATACATGTACAAACATAATAAAGAAATTCATGGCAATGATATATGCCAAATTCAGGAGAGTACATAGAGGATAATGGGGAGAAGTGAGGGAGGAAGGGGAAGGAAGGGAAGCAGAGAAGAAAGAAGAAGGTAAAGAAGGGGCTACGGGAGGAATACTGTACTTTTAATGAAGTATTTCTTAAGTTGGATGGTAAGTACATGGGTGCTTATTATATTTTTTTTCTACTTTGAAGACTTTCCAAAACATTATTTTTAATTGTTGCATACTATTTCAACAAGGCATTACAACAAGTGTTTTCTACCATAATTTGATTAACATTTCTCTCGTTTTGTGGGCTATTTAAATTGTTTCAGAGTTTAATCTATTATAAGTAACAGCTGGATGAATAGTTTTGCACATAAAGTTGTTTTTGTTTCTGTATTTCAAATTATTTCCCTTAAGTACAGTCAGCCTTCTGTATCTGTGGGTTCTGCATCTGCGGATTAAACCAACCATGGATTGAAAATATTTGGGGGAAAAAAAAGTTCCAAAAAGCAAAATTTGCATTTGCCACAAGCCAAGCACTATGCTGAATCCATGAGAATGAAGTGATGTATAGGCATACCCTGTTGTAGCCTCCTGCCATTCCACAGATCCTCAGTCTCTCTCCAACACTCATTGTTTGAGCATTGTTCACCTTGCTTTGGTGCTCATTAGATTATTTTTATATCTTTTAAAATCTCAAATATTCATAAACTAAAAAAAGAAAAATATAGGTATGGATGAAATGATCTATGAGCCTATGGAATTTCAGGTCCGATAAGTAACTCTCAGAGCAGCCTTTCAGGCCCTCCTCATCTCAGCACTGCCCTCAGCCTCCCCTGAGAGCACATCCACTGTTTGGCTATGTGGTACAGCCTAGTCTGGCCTAAGCATGCCCCTGTGAGCCCTTTCTGGCCACCTCTCCCCCTCCTCTCTCCTTACATCTGGTATTTCAGTGAACCTGACAGAATCAGAAATGTTCGTTAATTTTTATTAACATTTTATAGTTTGGTTAAACCATTCCCATTCTACTGAATTGCCTGATATGCCTCACTTCTCAGCTGCAGGCTACCTGCAAAGGATCTGCTTTTGACCATGCACATTCCCAGTCTTAAGTCTTCACACTGCCAGTAGACCCTGATCACTTGAACTCTTCAGTAGGGCTGGGGAAAGCTGTTTTTAAGGATTTCCAACAGAGCTCTGTCAATCTCGAAGCCCCAGGGTGGAAAATACAGGTGTTGCTGAATTGCTTTGCAAAAAATAATCACCACATTGCTTGTTTTCCTCCCATAATGATTTTGCAAATAAATAAGCTGAGAGTACAGATGGGTTCTGATCTCTTGGGTGCCCCTAGCATCAAGTTCACAGGAGAGGAAGAGGTTAACTGTACAGACAGGGACAATGTTGCTCCAAGCCTATTTCAGAGCCTGGGTTCTTTAGGCCATGCTCAAGTGCACAAGCTCATTCCTAGACAAAAGAACAGAGTAGTTCCCATTCGCCAACTTCCTCAATTCTCAGGCATACTTTGTGAGACACATGCAGAAAAAGTGAGACCTGTCAAGCTAATCTAACTGCAAAAGCAGAGCAAGACGGGGGAATGGATGGATATAATCTAGCTTGATCTTGTAAAAGTTTTGAATTCTGCCTTACAATACACGTTAAGCAACAAACTGGGAAGCCAGGACTAAACCACATAGTTAATAGATGGATGCTCACCTGGCTAGAACACAGGCAGCCTCAACCTCTATCTGTTCCTAACTTCAGCCAGCTCATTCCTTTCCCCCTAAGTTGGTGTGTCATAGTCATGTCAGCCTTGAACACCTTTGCTAGTTTCCAAAAATGGAAAGGATGTACATGATCATGGAGCAACATTAAAAGCACCAACTAAACCTTCTATTGTTTCTTTAGGTACTTAAAGATGACAAGGAACTAGAAAATCTCTGCCTCAGTGATGGGGGAACAGGGCTAGAGAGGTGTATTGAAATTCTCCATTTGCCTGCCCTTCCTGGCTGTCCAGAGGGTTGAATGTGAGTTTTTCAGGCATCAGATTAGTCATAGGACAAACCAAGACAAGTATATGATGGAAATGATTAAGAATGACCCACTGGTTCAGAAAATCCAATCAGAAAGGATAGCTAAGGCCACAGAGCAGCACAGAACAGTGGAAAGTACACGAAGTAGAGTCTGAAGCTTATTCTGAGTACTGAATTTGAATTCTAGCTGCTTAACCTACTAGCTGTGTGGTCTCGGGCAAGACAGTTAACCTCTCTGAGCCTCAATTTCTTCAACTGTAAAATGAGGAGACTCATCCTTACCTTGTAGGATGGCTGTAAGCTCTAGTCTAAACATGTAGTTTCCAAATCATGCGTCAGCCTTGCCTGCTAAATATGATGTTGAGCTTTCTTGTTCCCAGGTCAGTGTTCTGTAGCCCTTTTAAACCAATTGTGATAAATCTCACTACCTCCTTTAGTTAATTTAAACTTCTAAAATAAATTCAATATTGTGACTAAAAATAAATCAAAGCAAGGGTAACTCTGAATATTTTTCAATTTACATAGCTATGCCACCATCCCTGAAAATTCCACATAACCTTTCATAGGCAGGTTAGATCATAGATCTAACTTATGCTCACACAATATCTCCTCCCTGCCACAACCTATTCCAATCCTTCCCAGTCTTCAAGGTCAAGTTCACATTCTTCCTCTCCAAAGAAGCCTTCTCTGACTGCACCCTCCATCCCAAGCCGAAGTGGTGCCCCTTCTCTGAATTCTAGCACTAAGACGGCCCTTACACATCTGACACTTAGCCACCACACTGCTGAGATGGAATAATTCTGTTTTATAGCTTTTAGTTTTATCTGTCCATTTAGGTTGTGGCCAGCGCTGCACCTCCCTTGGTCTTGCTTCACTCAGGGATTGTCCGGGGGAGGAGAGCTGACAAATCCCCAGAGGTCTTTCTGCCTGGTTTCTTCACATGGCAAGGGGACAAAGTCCTCCTGAGCCCTGGTTGCCTGTGGCCCTGTTGAGATCAGGTTGCCCACATGCTACTTGTTAACAGTGGTCTGAGTGTCTCCACAGAGACATGGTGAGTAGATGCTCAAAATAGATGCTTTTGGGTCATCACAGCTTCCCTGCTAATTGGGGATTATTTTTTCCAATAGGATTCTGTCCTTCCTCCTTTTCCTTGCCACTCATCCAAGTTAGAGGATATTAAAGAATCTAGTACTTCTCCCCACAACTTGTCTGTCAGTTTGCCATACTGTGGTGGCTTGCATGTTGCTATGATGCTAGAAACTATGTCATCAGTATTTCAAATACCACAGGGTCACACATGGTAGACAGGTTTTAGAAGAGCTTCCAGACTAAGACAGACTAGAAAAAGAGGGCTGATGATCTACTTGCAAAAATCAGCCAAAGAAAACTCTATGGATCACATTAGAAAACTGTCTGACTTGCTTGCGTTGGACACATCATCGGAGGGATCACTTGGTGGAGGAGGACATCATGTTTGGTGAGGTAGAGGGCCAGCAAGGGTGAGAGAGACCCTTGCTGAGATGGGTTAGCACCATAGCCACAGAGATGGACTCAAACACACCAGCAATCGTGAGGATGATGCAGGACTGGTCAGTGTTTTGCTCTGTTGTACATAAAGTTGTCATGAGGTGGAGTCAACTTGACTGAAGCTATCTATCTAGTGCTTGTCCAGGAGGGCCCTGGAAGTCTGCAATCAGATGCCTGTGCCCTGGTCCTAGCCCATGGCTCTATCAAGGTACCTACCCCCATCTCTGACATTACATAACTGAAACACTTTCAGTTTTTTCCATTTGGCCTCACTGGGTATTCATGGGCTCCAGTAAGATTCTACAGGACACTTTGTACAACTGGCAGATGATACAATCTGGGGAATGTAATTGTTCAGGTTTGCAGCCTGCCTCACTTGCTTGTCAGTAAGGTCCTTTCTACCTCTTTAGAGTCCCTAGCCTGGGCCACCCCGGTTTTCCATCTAGATCTTGGAGAGGGCACATGGGGCTGGGCCTGGATTTATCTTGCTCACCACTGTATCCTAGTATCAAAGAGTCAATGTTTAATAATACCAACAAAACAACAACTGTGAGTGCTTACATAGTATATATTATGTGCCAGGCACCATTCTAAATGTTCTGTATTTATTAACTCAAATAATCCACACAACAATGTATGTACTGTTATAATCCCATTTGAAGAAGAACTGTAAGCATAGAGCAGTTAAGAAACTTGACCAGGGATAAAAGCTATTAAATGGCAGAGCTGGATTTTTAATTCAGGCTGCCTGGCTCTAAAATCTGTGCTTTCAACCACTGTGCAATACTGCCTCCCAATAAAAAATTGCTGAATGAATGATTAGTAACTCTGTATATATAGTAATAATATCAATAGCTAACATTTGCTAAGTACTTACCATGTGCTCAGCCCTGCACCAATATTGTCTCATTTAACCCTCAAAACGTCCTTTCCATTCAGATACTATTATGATCCCCATTTTACAAATTAGAAGATAATAATAGGCACAGAGAGATTGCCCAAGGTCCCAGGGCTCATTGGAGAATGGAGATGGGTACACTCTAGTCTGGCACTAAAGCCCACCCATGCTCTTAACACTATACCCCACTGATCCCCACTACTTCAGGTGGTTCTCCTCAATGCTTCCTGCAATTAGCTCTATCATCAGCTTGACTTGACATTGAGGAAAATAAGTACCTGAGAAGTTAAAGGACTGGCCCAAGGTTAGGCAAGTTAATAAGAAACAGAGTAGAGTCTAAGACCTAGGTGTTCTGGTTTGAAATGTTCTTTTCTGATCTATCCTCACATCTATTGCTATTTCTTAGTTGTCCCAAATGGCTCATACTCTAAGTCTGGCCCTTTAGTGCAAGAAGAAACAGCCCAAATGAAGAAAGTTCTCTGAACAGAAGTTCTCTCTCCAGCATCAATATAATCTGTATGGTCTGAATTCCCCACAGAATATGGTGAAAGCAACAGAAATATCGAGCAGTCATGTCACAGGAGAAAATAGCATGTTCAAACTGGTATGATGAGGACAGAGATGCTGGGAAAAGGCTGTTTGGGGCAAATGTAGGGATGTAGGAACATTAGTGGATGAACAACTGAGGAAAGTGGAAAGGGGATCTACTCTCTTGTCTATGAAAAAGTGAAAGGGGGAAAAGGGGGAAAATTTCCCCCAAAGTATCAAAACAATTTCCAAAAATTATCATCTCAGGAAGAAAATAACAAAACACATGCATAACTAAAATGACAAGGCAATGAGACATAGAGGAGTAGAGACAGCCATCCCAGGGGACAAAAAGAAAGAAAACAGTCTTATCTAGACTTTTCAAAGGAAAAGTGTAAGGGAAAGAGGGAGGCTGGTAAAAGTTAAAGAAGGCATCATATAATTAGAAGCCACTAGTAGGTATATTTTCCCTTCATATATGTGAAGTACCTTTACATATATAAAGACCAGAAGCAAGGCATCTCCTCAAATGGATTACAGAGAAGGGGAGGGGTGGGGTAAAGCACAGTTGGGAGTTGTGTAAGGTAGAGCCATGGGGGAAATTCCTGTACCACAATGGCACCTACCTGTCAGGGCAAATGTAGGAGGCCCCTTGCTGGTTCCTAGAGCAGGGAAAGGTCAGGTGGCCAGACTTATGTAGTGGAAATGGGGATGGGGTGCTCAGGGAAGCTACTGTTACAAACTGGAATGGAAATATTTCAATATTTTAAACAACTGGTATAAACCATCTGGCTATCAACTCTGGGTGGAAGGGAGTAAGGAGGGGCAGGAGGGCAGAGGGTAAAAAAGATACCAAGCAAAACGTGCCAACTTCAGAATTTCACTGACCATAAGCTAGTCTTGCCTGTGATGTTCACGCCACACCAGTGCCCCTGATATGGAATTGCTGTCAATCTCCTGTTTGTTTTTCTTCCAGCAATTTTTGTCCACTTCTTTGAGAGCCTAGGGAGAGAGAGGGGCTTGTGCCCCCTGAGGTGCCCATCATCCTAAAGGAAAAAAGGGGTCAGGGTTACCTTCTTGCAGAGGACCATCTGATGGTCAAACAGGAAGAAGACCCGCTGTTGGTTGCGGCCGTAGGGCTGGTAGATCCAGGCCATCTCTCCAGTGTAGATCAGCTCCGAGCTTCTGTCTAGGATGTCCTCACCCTGGGAAGGACATGTGATGGTGAGAGGCAGCCAGGCAGGAGTGATGACCCTGTCACCAGCCTGGAAGCACTCAGGGCTGGACACAGATTGGGATGGGAGGAGGCAAGAAAGGTCCTAGTGGGGAAGGAAGGATGAAGGGTCTATTGGGAACCTTCAGGAAGCTTTACAATTCCATGAGCTGGAAGGATTCAGCACTCTTGTTCACCCTTAGACCACATGAGCCCCACCACTAAGGACTGCTACAGCCCCTCTATGCTAGTTGCCCTCTAGCCCTGGAGGCAACAACTACCATGAGGTTTTCTTTCTCTCTCTCTCTCTGAAACTCTCTCTCTCTCTCTCTCTGTGAATCTGTCTTTCTGCCCCAGTCTCTTAATCCTTGTTCTAATCTCTCAGTGTCTTTCTTGTATCTGAAGAGTAAGTCTGAGGAGGTGGTGTAAGTCTCTCTGCTTACCAGATGAGTAGAGGAGACAGGAGAGGACAAGGAAGAAGATGATGATAGAAGGAGATAAAAAGAATCTACTTATTCTAATTACTTTTTTTTCTCCTCTCAGTTAAGTAAAATCTCCTGATTAAAATAGGAGTCTTCACTACCCCATCCCTCCTCGGTATGTTATCTAGAGAGCCTGAAACCACTTATTCTCCTGGTCACATGTAGTCAGACACAAAATAGTACCAAGACACCTGATTCCTAACCCATTCAAGTCTACAGAGTTTCCAAGGGCCTCCTTCTTTATGTCTCTGCTAGGTCAGATGTATGTGTGTGTGTAGAGCTCATATACCAAGCCATACTGGCCCGTCTTCAAGAAGCTTACATGTCAGTGGGGAGACTAACGTAGGTGTGCTCAGAATTCATGGAACACAGGGCTACCTCCAGGGCTATGTGAAAATAGGAACAAAGAGCAGTGACCCAGGCCTCAAGAGAATTAATATTTACTGAGCACCTATACAGGAAACTCTGGTAGCATTGTGGTTAAGAGCTACGGCTGCTAACCAAAAAGGTCGGCAGTTGGAGTCCACCAGCCACTCCTTGGAAACCCTATGGGGCAGTTCTACTCTGTCCTATAGGGTCACTATGAGTCAGGATCAACTCGACGACAATGGTTTTTTTTTTCTTTTTCTTTAAAACACAGGTGAGACATTGTGCTAGATACTTTCATGAGCTTCATAATAGCTCTGCGAAGTAGATTTTCTTGTTTCTGTTTTACAGTACTGAGGTACACAGAGATCAAGGGACAGGCCAAAGTTAGCTACAGATCTGCAACCCAAACCCCATCTCTTGGGCTCCAGACAGTGTGTTCATTCTTTCTACTACATTATACTGGGACCAGTCCTTTTCTCTTTCTGGGTCTCAGTTTCCCCAGTTGTAAAATGAGGTATATGAAGATGATCTCTAAGGGCCCAGCCTTGATACTGTGATGATAAGATCTCAGTCTTGCCCTCAAAGTGAAGGTTAGAGATGGGGGCCCCTGCATTCCTCCAGAAATAATCAGGGGCAAACAGCCCAGGCAGAGCAGTGGGACAAAGACAGGGGCATTAGTAAATGGTGTTCTTGAGTACAGCAATTTTTTTTTTATTATTGTACTTTAGATGAAGGTTGATAGAAGAAACTAGTTTCTTATTAAACAGTACACATATTGTTTTGCGACATTGGTTACCAACCCTACAACATGTCACACTTTCCCTTCTTGACTTTGGGTTCCCAATCACCAGCTTTCCTGTCCTCTCCTGCCTTCTTAGTCCTTGCCCCTGGGTTGGTGTGTCCCTTTAGTCTCGTTTTGTTTTATGGGCCTGTCTAATCTTTGGCTGAAGGAGGAACCTCAGGAGTGACTTCATTACTGACTTAAAAGGGTGTCCAGGGACCATACTCGTGGGGTTTCTCCAGTCTCTTTCAGGCCAGCAAGTCTGGTCTTTTTTTTTTTTGTGAGTTACAATTTTGTTCTACATTTTTCTCCAGCTCTGTCTGGGACCCTCTATTGTGATCTCTGTCAGAGCAGTCAGTGGTAGTAGCCAGGCACTATCTAGTTGGGCTGGACTCAGTCTGGTGGGGGCTGTAGTAACTGTGGTCCATTAGCCCTTTGGACTAATCTTTCCCTTGGAGCACAGCTATGTTCTCCAGTCTAAGCGATGGGAAGGAAAAAGGGAGCTCAGAGGAATTATTTTCTAATAATAGGATAAAAGCCCAAAGATCTGCTGTAACTCCAGGCCCCAGGCTCAGCCTCAGGAGTATGCAGGGACTAGGGAAAACCTCCTCCTTGAGGGGCTAACACACTAGGACAGAGCTGGGAGAGGGAGCCTTCAGGATGAGGGAACAGTGCAGAGCTTTCCTTCTGGAGTAATGGGAAGCTGAGAGTGGCACCAGTCTGCTATGCCCCATCCTGATGCAGGCCAGGAAGATGTGCCACTTTCTACTTTGAATATGTATGAAGTGAAAGAGAGCTATGAAAGGAGACCAATGCCATAAAAAGATGGTCAGGATGATTTTCAAAGGTACCACTTGCTAAACTGAGAATGCTTAGACTAGGAAGACTACTCAGTGTCAGCTGGCCCACCCACTGCACTAGGCAAGGGCACCCCAATTACATTTTAAAGCACCTGCCACATGCAACTCTATCAAGCAAAAAAAATCGAAAGAATACACCCCCATGCTCATCAAACTGACTGACTTTGGGAAACTTACATATCCTCTCTGTGCCTCAGTTTCTTCATCTTTAAAATGGAGATAATAATAGTACTGACCTTATTTGGCTGTCATGAGGATTATATAAGTTAACATACATCAAGTGCTTAGAAAAGTACGTATCACACTGTAAGGTCTACATAAGTGATAGTTATTATCTTTACTATTACTGTGTGCCAGGGATTATATGCATCCCATCTCCTATTAATACTCTCAACAACCTGATAAAGTATGTGCTGCTATTATCCCCAAAACCAAGATCAGAGAATATTGAAGTAATTTGCACAAAGTGGCAGAACTCAGGTTGGATTCCCTCCAAAGCAGATACTCTTAAACACCAAACCACAGTAGAATGATGAGTCCCTAGTGGAGCAACCAGTGGCCATGGAAGACTTACAAGGTGAGAATCTTGGGAAACCTGGGTTCTGGGCACAGTGCTGTCACCAACTCACTTTGTGCTCTTGGGAAATAACTGTTCTTAACCACAGTTTCCTCATTTGTACAATGTGGATAATACAACTATTCCTGTTTGGTCCACTTCACATGGCTGCTTGAGAGCGTCAAGTCAGTTCGTGGAAGGGAAAGGGCTGTGAAAAACAAGGTGATACACAAACATGGTGGGCCCTCTCATTGCCAGAGCCCTCAACCTTGCTTGCTCTGCCCAACTCACACCACACATCCCTTTGCTTTGCCCCCCGAAACGCAATCCCTTCCCACTGCCCCACCACCACCACGGGGCCTTCTGTTTTGTTCCATTCCTCCAGGATTTTACTTACATGGTTTCCTCTGTCTAGAATGTATTTTCTCCCACTGGATGGTCAAGGCCACATCTCATTCATCTCAATATCCCCAATGTCAAGCACAGGGCCTGGCAGAGAGGAGATTCTCAAAACATAAGTGACCTAGTATTATGTCTTTGCTGAAAACCCTACAGTGTCTCCCATCTCACTCATATGAGGGCCTATATGATCTGACCTCCCATTACCTCCTTGACTTCATCTGCTCCCACTCTTCCCCTTGCTCACTCCACTTTGGTCACACTGGCCTCTCTGCCGTTCCCTGAGCACACTTTTCCCACCTTTGTTCTTCTCCCTGCCTGGAATGTTCTGTACTGAGAAAGCCACATGGCTTGCTCCTTCAGGTATTTGCTTAAATGTTACCTCTTCAGGGATACCTTTCCGGATCACCTTATCAAAAAGAGCACCCCCATCACTCCCTAGCCTGTTACCCTACTTTAATTTTCTTCATAGCTCCTCTAACTATGCCATTAAATTACTTGTCTGTTGCCTCTCTCCTCTGCTGGAATATAAATTTGATGAGGATAGGAACTTTGTCCTGTTCACTGATTTATCTGCAGAGTCTAGAATGAGGCCTGACACATAATAGGTGCTCAATAAATATATGTTTAACAAATGTATCAGGGTGTTGAATGAATTGTGGTCATCTAAAAATACTCAAAGATTTCTTGCCAGCTCAGCTACCTTCCCTTCCTGGGGCCAAAACCTCAGGGAAGTGAAGGACACTCCTCTGCCTGACTTCACCCCATTCTAATTAAAGACTAATTGTCTGATGTGGAGTTGTGGCTAGAGCAGATTCAAGAAAAGAAGGACAAGGGAAATACCATCCTTTTCATCCAGTTTGTTTTCAATGCTTCCTACTTCCAGGAGGTCAGGGAAATAATAAATCCATCAAGCACTGCATTTGATCTCCCAGTCCCAGGAGCATGCCTCATTAAACCACCTTAAGTTTTAAACAGATGCTTTTGCTGCCTCCATCACATTAGTGTTTTTGGTTTTCTCCAACTTCTCTGGATTCAATCAGCCAGTGGTAAACTGGATCAGGCCCTTGGGTATTACACAACCAGGCTGGGAAGGGTGCCATGAGGAGGAAATCACAACTACATGCAATTAAATTAAGCCCCCCAAACATCAGCTGCAAACTTGGGCTCCTGGTAAAAATCTCCAGGAAAAAGAAAGTTAAAAAGCAGCTGTCAGGAATATGTTCCCTTTCCCTTCCTTTCAAGTGGATTTAATGAGTGTGAAAGGTGGTAAAGTGACAGCTAAACTGAACCTCAGCATCAGAAATAAGAAATGGAAATTTTCCAGAAACTGCAGCCCCTGGGAAGAGGCTCTTCTCCTTGCTGCTACCCCAACCTGCTGTAAGGTATTTATTATTACTTAGAGGGATGGGTGATACTTTTACTCATCTGTTATTTTTCAGGAGTCCTGGAGGATGGAGGAGAGAGAGGGGTGCTTCAGGAACTCTAGATACCCATAGGTTGGCATGGTACAGGGATGGAAACTAGAGTTAGGCAAAGGGACCCAAAATGTTCATAGAGTAAGTTGAGGGAAGGGCCTGGACTGGGCAGAATGCAGATTCTCCTACTTTCTAGCCAGACACTGATTTACTGAGCAGTTACCAATTGCCTGCATGCCACCAACCCTCTACCACATTTCTCAATTCCTCTGCAAGGGGGATTAATATTTGAAAGTTTCCTCTATCATTTCTCTTTTTCATTTGACAAATGAAGCGGAAATTACTATGAGGATGCTTTTGACAGCCAGCCTGTTTGTTCAAACATCTGGGAGGCAAGAGAGTGGCAAAGACAGCAAAATATTGCTTCCTTTTCTTGATTTGTAGGGGTTGACCACAGCTGCTCTCAACAAACTACCTCTCTTTGTCTGCTCAACTGCTAAGGCAGGCGGAACTCACCTCACATCCCATGTCCTATTGCTTTTGGAGGAAGACTCCCTAACACTCAACCACCTTTAGCCTGACTGGGATTTGGATTTTTCTCCCAAGGCAGTCTCACTGTCTTACTCAGATATAGATTTTTTACTGCAAAAACAAGTCTCTGCAGTATTACAAAGGAGAGCAATTGGACTAGGGGAGGTAGGAGGTTGGAGCAGTGTGTCGTGCAGTACTGAAAAGAATATCACACAAGGAATCAGGAGACTAGATTCAAGTCCCAGCTCTGTCACTGATTTGCTGTGTGGCCTTGGTCAGGAACACACCGCTCTCTGCTTCTTTCTTTTACCATCAGTATAAGGTGTATATGTGAGTGTGTGCGTGTGCACATGAGCATGGCCAGGGTTGTGAGGGTAGTTCTCTAAGAGTCCTGGTGACTAACATTCTAGAAGTCTTTAAGACCAGATATGGCAAACATAACAGACATTTTGGGCCTGACCTCTGAAATGAACCCATCAGGCCCTGCGGAGAAAAGTCCTCCTAGATGCCAACCCCTCTAGAGCTGGCAAGTTCCACAGTGATCCCAGAATCTGAGAAGGGAACCACAGGAAATTTTTCTCCTTATCAATTTAGATGAAGAAGAGCTTCATCAAGCAAGAGAGTAGTAGGGGTGTTTGGGCTTGGATGAAATTAGAAGGCAGAGCGTAACTATTCCCCTATTCATCCTGTCTTGGAATTGCCTTTTGTGCCTTCCCCCAACCCCCGTACCCCCATTCAAAAAAAAAAAAAAAAAAAGAGGCTCTGTCTTTCAATCATCGCTTAGTGCGTTCCAGTTTGGTGTTAATGAAGCTGCCTGGGTAGGCCAGAGAATTTCAAGCTAATAATGATCCCCCAGGATTGGAGGCCCAGAGCACATGGGGGAATCACAAGGTCTTCTAGGCATTGGGAAAGAGGAAGATATTCCAGGGAATAGGAAGACAGCTGTTGCTGGGAACCTCCTATTACAAAGAATTCTGCTAAGGGGGAAGAAAAAGTGGCCTGCTAACAAGTCACATTTCCATGCCTTAGAGCTGATGTACTCGCTGGAGGTCATTTGGTCCAGCCCTCTGCCTTTGATCAGGCAACTATCCAAAGTAAAGCACACACAAGGGAAGGAGAATCCATGATTTCCTAGTAATTCTGGGCCAGTGTTCTTATGAGCAAGAAAGTCTCTTTACATATTCCTTTCTCTGCATCTCAAAGAATCACTAATGTTATACTCTGGATGGGGTCATTATCCTGCAAATAAGACTCAAAATATGTCAGCTGATAAGAATTGTGATCCTTTACAGCCATCTACATTAAGGAGGAAAAGAGGTAGTACAACAAAGGACAGATAAAATTTCTAGACCTACTTCATGCAGCTTAACTTGGGCAAGTAGCTGTTTGTAAGGCGGATGCCAAGTCCTCTTGGAATGGGCTAAACTGCTTGAAATGTTAGAAAGACATTACCTCTTAATCACAGAAAATGATACCTGAGTTGAGGCCAGAGGAACAGGGAGCTGGCTCTACATCTTCACTGTGACCATATGGCTTAAGATTGCTGCTCCCTCCCTGGTAGCATGCCCAGCCTCTACTACCTGGGTTCTGTTAGCCTATGGACTGTCAGATCGCACAACTTGGGCCCAAGAGATAAATGTGAAATGTCATTACTCTTGGTTCTCTTGATGGGCACAAGAGACAAACACTAAATGGCATACTCAGTACACAGGCCTTGTAATTCACAGGTCTGTTTCTACTGAACTGCAAGCTCAGAAACTTCAACAGGGGCAGTGGTCTTACAGAGGTAAATCTTGATTTACTTGTTAGGCTGTGTATATCCTCTGCAGGTGAGCTTCTGAGAAGGGAAGGCTTTAGCGACTTCAGCCACTGAAGGCTTTATGAGTTCGGAGAACTCATGGCTTTCTGTGTAATGGAAAGGAAGGCTGCCATGGATTATTTTTAAAAGCAGATGATGTAAAAGAGAATTTGGTCTGTGGCTTTGGCACGGATGATGGTCATGGCTTTGAATGTGCAGACTTGAGTAGACTTAGGAGATGTATCATGGTGAGGTGACACTACCAACAGGCTGGCCTGCAGTGTCTGGGAGTGAATTAGTATGCACCGTACATCCAAGTGTGTATCTGGTCAAAAAATCCTAGGATTTGAAGGAGTTTTGAAAGGCTACTGAGTCAAACCAATTGTTTCCTGGCAACATCCAAAGAGAAGAACTTTTCCTTTCTTCATGAAGTACTGTCACAAAGACTTCTCCAATCTTCTTAGAAAGCTATTCAAGCACCCAACACCTCTTATTAATAGGAAGTTTTGTCTTGGCTCTAATCTAAATCCTTCCTTCTGCTCTTCAAATCCGTCTTTGCCCACCCTTGCCTAAGGTGGGAAAGTCCTGGCCAAGCTATTCAGACTCCCCACTGCTCCTGTTGGTGAAGGTCTTACCTCCCAGTCAAGGACAGAGGCTTGCCACTGGGCAATCTTGTCGATATTCTCCAAACGCCGCTTGCGCTCGTTGATCTGCTGAGTTACATTTCTCATGACAGCCAGAGCAGCTGCCACATACCTGTAGTCACTGTGAAGACACAAGGGTGCAAGCTGGATGAACCAATGTGCCAGACTGCCAGGTGCCAACCCTAACATCCATTCTCCTCTTCCTCCTTAGTAACAGAGTCCTGATTTTCAGATGGAAACCATGGCATCCAGAGTTTTCCTTACAGCAAGGGGTGACTACGTTTTGTCCAATGATATATAAAAAGAAGTGTTGGTTGGGACTTGAGAAATCTTTAAGGAAGAGAGTATGCCCTTCTTTGTTCCTTACTCATTTCTGATGCTTAACGTGGATGTGATGGGTGAAGCTCTAGCAGCCATCTTGGATCATAAGGACAAGGTCCATAACCTAGGGATGGGATATCAGAAAGCCAGGAGCCCAAGATCCTGATGACCATGGAGCCACTACACCAGGTACAGGCTGCCCACCTGCAGACTTCTTTCATATGAGAGAAAAATAGACCCCTACCTTTTTTAAGCCACTATTGTTAGGTCCTATCTGATACAACCAGCCAAGGACTGAGAAGGGAGCCTCAGAGATGGTACAGTCCAGACAACTTCACCATCTCATCTACCATCTATTCTAGGGAGCATCTGCCTAAAGCAAATGTGATATAATATTGATGTAGCATAGTAGTTAAGAACACAGAGTCAGGAGCCAGACTCCCTGGGTTCAAACCCCAGTTTTGCCACGGAGTAGGAGTGTGGTCTTTGGCAAGTCTCATTCAAACTCTTAGTGACTCAGTTTCCTCATCTTTAAAATGCAGAAAATTACAGTAGGATTTATTGAGGGTTTAATAAATTAACAACTATCCATCTAAACTGTTTAACTCTTAGCCCACAGTAGATGTTAGCAGTATTATTATTACAAATCAAATATCTCTTTTGTATGGACATCACATGGGTTGTCACCAACTCCCAAAACTCTTAGTCCCAGAAGTGCAACCCTGGGCCCAGCTTCCTGGGACTCTGGATGGACCACATGTTGAAGGTTACACCACCCAGCCAAGTTTTCTCTGCTCGTCTGATCTAATTTCCAGTTAGATGGCACCTGTGAAAGGCAGGTTGAAAGTAAGATCCTAGACATTCAGTGGCGCTATAACGAACTGAGCAGATGGGAGGATGACTGACAGTTTAGTCTTAATATCTTTCCCTAAAGCAACTGAAAATGGCTTATAGTCACTAACCTGCTCACTCTCCCAGCACCAGTTAGAAAAGAGAACAGGAAGATGCGTGGCAACTTTCTTTTTCTTTCCTAATATGTTGAAGTGTGGGGTGGTGGACCAAACATGGGTACAAGGAAGGAAATTCTAACTGCCAGAGCAGATACCATGTAGCACCTCCTCTTAGCTGGCCTCCCTGGCTCCCGTCTGTGCTCTAGACACCTACCAGGACCATGGCCCTCAAATGCTACTGCATTTTATCACCTCCGGTGATGGACTTCTAACTAATCTACTCTGTCTCAAGACACCTCTGTTAGAAAACTCTTCTTTATTTTGAGCCTTAATGAATGTTAGCTATTATTGGTTTTTCTTCTGGATCCCACTTCTGACTCATACTGAGCTTATGGTCAACTAACAATTCCTAAGACTCTTTGAAACATGCTGCTTAGAAGCTGCATTTCTCTCAGCCTGTTCTTTAGCTGTTGACTTCTTAGACACAACTGCAAAACTTTACATTTGTTCCTGTTGCATTTCATTTTTTTTTACAGTCTCTTGCTCCAGCTTGAGGGTGATCTTTTGGGTGCCGTAATATCACCAAAGATTCTCCCTGGCACATGCTGTTCAAGCCTACTGTTTATAATAAGCAGGGTAGGTTGATAACAGAAGGGGTGGTAGCAATGTGGAAGTAGAAGTTGCTGACATAATGAGTAGTCCTGTTCCATTAGGTCCATTTTCTGTTCCCTGTGCCTTCCTCTCTCATTTGACGGCATCAGAAAAAGCCTTAAGACACTTTCTGGGAGGTGAAGCACAGAGCTACACAGTCCCTTATGATAGACACTAGCTACATTTAATTAAAATTAAATAAAATAAAAAATTTAGCTCCTTGGTTGCACTAGTTACATTTCCCAGTGCTCAACAGCCATATGTGGTCAGTGACTACTGTACTGGACAGCATAGAAAAAAAACACTTACATCATTGCAGAATGTTCTATTGAACAATGCTTGCATGAGAATGCTCATTACCTCTGCCTGACCCCAGGAACTACCCGCCATGGATTTATCACTTCCACTGTGCCATACTGTCTGCCTTTGCCATTTTGGGTACAAAATGGTGAAGGCTCAACTACTAATTGAAAGGTTGGCAGTTCGAACCTACCCAGAGGCTCCTCAGAAGAAAGGCCTGGTAATTTGCTTCTAAAAGGTCACAGTCTTGAAAACCCTATGGAACACATGGGATCGCCATGAGTCGGAATTGACTTGATAGCAATGCATTTGTTGTTTTTTATCTTTCTTACAATGGCTAGAAGGGAGCTGTTCCAATCTCTAACCTACTCCACTGGCTTTAGGAATGGGTGAGTGAAGAGGAGAATAGCTGTAGTCTAGCCGGAACCCTGGTCAGAGCTCCTGGGAGCCCTTAGTTGATGCCTCGGTCCAGCCTCCTGATGGGGAGAGTGACAAAACCAAGATTTTCTGGTTTCATAGAGGTCAGCTAACCTCCCGCTTGTATACAGTCTTCCCTCCTGTCAGCTTAAGGAAAGGAGGGGAGGGAGCAAGTCACCCTTCTGTAAGCAAAGGCAGTATTATTCTCCATTTATCACTTTCCAACTAATCTCCCCCCTTAGAGGCCACTCTAACTGCCTGCATTTCAGACCTACCTATCTGACTAAGCCTCCAAGCTGGCAGCAACCTCTAATTGCCTTCCAATCCCAAGCTACTCCTCACATGCACAGCAGGAACTGGTCATCTTGATATAGCTTTCTGTGGCCTGCCAAAAGGAGTGGCCTATGGTCTGGGGGAGTGTTGGACCCAACAGGTCCCCCTAAAGGAGCACAGGAATGGATGTAGCCTATCACTGCCTGAGCCACTATCTTGGACTTGGAGTCCAAGGGAGGAGAAGGGAGGAGGGACCCAGAGAGCAAAAGGGTCTTAAAGCAAGGGTTCCAGTTAGAAGGTGAAGGAACCAGGGATGGCAAATTCCAGGCAGAAGTCCTATCTTGCCTGCTCCCACCAAACCCAAACAGGTTGCTTTGGATTAAGAAAAATTAATGTTACTTTGGGCTGTGCTTTGAAAATGGTCTTTCTGGGGCTCTTATAAATCAATTATGCAACATATAATGTACCTAGTAAACATCAGTCTATAAATTTGTTTTCAGAGCCTCCTGCTAGATTCCATGAATGCATACTCAGGAGTGGGGGGGTAATATTAAAAAATTTGAAAATTATTCTTTGAATATACAGGTTTTGAAACCATTGGTCTGAACGCTGCTCAACTGAGATTTAGGTACAATAGTGGATGCTTCTGATCACTAGGCACCAAGCAGTATAACTGTAGAGGTCATTTAGGCTCATGACATCACAAGCTGGAAGAACTAGAAGAGATCTTCTGGACTAGCTAGTGCAATGGCTCACCAACCTCCATGGGCATGAAAATCACCTGGAGAACTCTTTAAAAAGCTAGATTCCCAGACAGACGACTTATCTGTGCTTTGTATCCCTGCTTTGCCACAGACTTGCTCTGTGTTCGTTTTCCCTTTCTGGGCCTCTGTCTTTTCAGTGGAATGTGGAAATCTGATTAGAAGATCTTCCTTTAAGGGCCTTTACAGTCTAGGTTTCCATGAATATTTGCTATTTTTAGTTGTCAAATCTCTCAACTTTGGTGGAGGTTTTTCAATGTGCTATTGGTCCTCATAAGAAAACACATCCTCAAAAGACTGAGGGCTCAGTTCTGGCAATGGGCTATATTAAGTTTGTACAAGTGAGATATAAACATGTCTAATAAGTATCCCATCACTTTTTGGCTAGTAATCTGCCTCAGAGACTCCTTCTTTGCATGGTCCTGGTCCTGCTCCACCTGCCTTTCTCACAGCCAACAGGGCATGGAAGGCAAAGCTATTCAGATAAAAGGAGAGTCTAATGCTACCATATTTGGGTTCAAATCTGAAATCTGTTCAGGAGCCCAGAACCACTGAAGCACATGATCCATGATTTGCTAAAGAAGCAGCATCAACTCAAAAATGAACCAAGGAACTGGCCTAGAAGCTAGACATAAACCAAACCCATGGCCTTTATGCAACTAGGCCTGGAAGTCAGCCTCAAGGAAACCAGAAAATGGAGACAAATGAAAGTAGACAGCATGCTTAATAAGGATCAGGCAGAAAGCTCAGGGAAACTGGGCAAAGGCCTTCTTTCTTGTTGGAGTGATCAATCTAAGGAAGAGAGCTGAAAGCTGGGCCAATAAGTCTAAGGTCGGGAATTTAACATCAATTAGAGGAAGAATAGTTACATAACTGACTAGAAACAGGCCCGGGGCTTTAGATCATGAGGTAAGGCACGTGAGGGGAAAGGGTGGTTACTACAGGCCATTGCCATTGTTAGAGATATCTCCTAGCGTGTACCTTACTGGCAGGAGATGAGGGTTATCATTTTTATTCAGAGAGAAATAATCTCCTTGAGCTTTTTTGGGTTGTTTTTTAAAAAAACTATCTATCTTCAGGGGAATTCTTGAGTCTATTTGTCCCCAGCCAGGCTCTGGGTCTAAAAAAAAAGACACAGGTGAGGTGGGCAGACCAAAACCAAAAACCAAACTCAATGCCGTCAAGTCGATTCTGACTCATAGTGACCCTACAGGACAGGGTAGAACTGCTCCACAGGGTTTCCAAGGAGCAGTTAGTGGATTCAAACGGCTGACTTTATGGCTCCAGGGTAGGGCAGGGGAGGATGAAAAAGATGAACAAAGACCAGGGGTATAGCCTTGCAGAAAGTCAGTACAACGTGGGTAAGCTGGTGTCTTAAAAACCAGGATAGCTTCATCTATCAAGAAGAATGGAATATACAGTTGAATACTTGTTTCATCTGGGTCAATTCACTTGGCTGAGCTCAGGGCTAAGGACTAGGCTATTGAAGGCAGGACCTAAGTCGTGCAGTAATGATGATGCATACTGATTTTGTACGCATACTGATTTACAACTTCACAAGCAACTCTCACAAGCATGTATCATCATCCCATTTTGCAGATAAACCAAAAGAAGCTCAAAAAAGACATAACATTATCAATAAGGACCAACATGTGGAAGAGGTTCCCTCCCTTCTTCCTCCCTCCTCCTTCCCTCAATCTCTTACCTGTGGTCCTGGGCAGTGTACTTGAGAAGCTCAGCCAGCTGTAAGGGATACTTGCAGATCTTCTGCACTGGAGTCAATAGGAAGCCATCAATAGCAATGTCGATCATCTGCTGCAAGAGGCGACAGGCCTCAAAGAAGTGCTGGTAACGACTGTCCTTCATCAGCTTGGAGAGCTCCATGCAGGCATCCAGGTGGTTATTACAGTACTCAGAGTATATCCAGAATCCATCTTGCTGTGAGCAGAGGAAAAATGGGAAGAATGGAAAAGGCTACTGAGGGCCCCAAAAGACGTCTCACAGAAATGGAAAAACATACCCTGTTCTTACATATTAATATTAAAGTAATAATGATGTCAATCATGCCCAATTTTACCCACAATTTAATAATAAAAATACCAAAAGGAATTATTTGGGAAGTAGACAGACTGGTTGTAAAGTTCACATAGAAAAAGATAAATAAGTAGGAATAGCATGGAAATTCTGACAAAAGAAGAGTAATGAGGGGAGACTGGCCCTAATGATAGTAAAACACACTATGGTAATAAAAAACTCTGGTACTAAATCATAAAAAGAAGTAGATCAGAGATTCTGCTCATTTTTTTAGAGCAACATGTGAAAGAGGACTGATATGGCGGCACTTGTGAAGATGCCTCACAGGGGGAGGGCACTGGCTGGCAAACAAATGCAGAAGGCATGTATTATTTGTGTAAAAATATGGTATTCTCACCTTGAACCTCAGCATTCATTACTGCCAGACATACATCATTAATGTGCAAAATAATCAGATAGTAGATTTTTTACTATTGTTGTAAACGCAAAATGTCAGACGAGATAGTCGATAAGTGAGGAGTAGGTGTATAATAAAACATCTGTTTGAAGGAATCGCATCATCTAGAGCTTCAAATTATCTCCTTTGGAAATACACCTTGAAGTATTTAGGAGTGAAGAGGCCATGATTTATACAAGATACATACAAATGGCTGAGGAAAAAAAATGTGTGTGTGGGTAAATATATATATAGAGAAAAAGAGGTGAGGAAGGAGAGAGAGGAAAAAGAGAGCACACTTAAATAATAACAAAAAGAGTAAAATGTTGACAATAGGTGAATCTGAGCAAAGGGTATATGTGTATTCTTTGTACTGTTCTTATTCTTCAAATTTTCTGTAAGTTTGAAATTATTTCCAAGTTTTACAAAATCTCTATGATTTTTCTTATACATTGTTCAGAGCACAATAAAAAATAACATGATGCATGTAAGAAAGATCCTAAAATTAAACTCTTTGGGGCATTTGGCATGACTAAAAGGAGGCTACCTCTGGAACTGAACTTAAACCCCATTCTGGAAAGCCTGCTCTACTCTAAGAAGTTAACCTTTGTACAGACTTAATCATGCAGCTAAGGGAATGTTTTTCTCCATAGCTAGGCTACAGAACGTCAAAAGCACATCATGTGAAGCCGGGAAAAGAAGTATATTGAAACCCTTCTGTGTAAGATGTTCTCAAGAGAACTTTCCCCTTAGCAAATTAATTTTTACCATCTGTTCTCATAGAATCATGTAATCATCTTGTGACTGCCTTGTGATCCCGCTGCAAGCACACATATCACAAAGTAGTAACTAATCAACAAAGCACACATACACTCCTTAAACCAATCATGTTAAAATCCCTGTTTCCAGATATCCCACCCTCAACTATCTTACCCCACCAAGAACCAATCAGATTGTTGTTAGCTTGTTCCCAAGGGGCTTCAAAACAGCTCATATGCAGCTTGTTCCCAAGGTGCCTTAAAACAAACAGCTTAACTACCAATCCAGAATGGCCACATACCCCTGATAACCCAATCCCAGACAAGCCCGTGCTTCAAGTAATCCTGCTTTATGCTGATCTAAGTTTGTAACTTCCAATCAAAATAGTGTACCTAAAGTTATTTGTTCTCACTCTATAAAAATATGTTTGCAGCTTTACCACCTTGGAGCTCTGACTTGTACTTCTTGAGAAGTCAGTGTTTTCCCCAGCTCAAGCTGTCTCTACCTTCAATAAATCTGTCTTAACTTTAACAGAACATAAGTTTCTACTTTTAGACACATGAAAATATGAGATATGAACAAAACCTAAGAGAAACAATCAACCAACTAACCAGTTGTTGTCGAGCTGACCCCGACTCATGGAGACCTCATGTGTGTCAGAGTAGAACTGTGCTCCACAGGGTTTTCAATGGCTGATTTTTTGGAAGCAGATCACCAGAGCCACATCTTCCGAAGTGCCTCTGGGTGGGCTCAAACCTCCTACATTTTCATTAGCAGCCAAGTGCATTAACTGTTTGCACTACCCAGGGACTCCAGAGAAACAGTAGGCAGTAGAAACTGATAGACAAAAAATAAAGATGGAGTTGTAACATACGGACTTAAAAAATTATGATTAAAAAAATGAAATAGATAAGCCATATAGATCAAAAGAAAATATTAGAAAAACATATCTAACAAAGGAATTGCATCAACTGTATAAAAAGAAATCCTTGAACTCAACAAACTAAACAACTTAATTTAAAAAAAAAAAAGCAGAGACATCCTGGAAGATGTTGGCATGAGCATTTCTATACTTCTTCCCCCTACATTATCACCAAGTAAAACAATGAAAACATCAGTAGAAACAGCTCTGTAAGATCACTAAGAAGTAATCAAGAGAGGTGTAGCAACTAGATAAATGCTTGTCTTAGTCATCTAGTGCTGCTACAACAGAAATACCACAAGTGGATGGCTTTAACAAAGAGAAATTTATTTCCTCACAGTAAAGTAGGCTAGAAGTCCAAATTCAGGGTGTCGGCCTTCTCATCAATGTTCCCCTGGACTAGGAGCTTCTCCACGCAGCGACCCTGGATCCAAAGGACACGCTCCTGGCACTGCTTTCTTGGTGGTATGAGGCCCCC